AAAAAAAAAGGGTACATGAGATATCCGTATTATCTCTTACAACTGCAGATAATTTCATAATTATCTCAAAATAAAAAGTGTAAAATTGGGGAAATCAATTCCTCAACTGATTGTTCACAGTCAGTTATAGATCGAACTCCTTATACTCTTCCCCCCTTCTCACTACTGCACTTGACTAGTCAAAAAATAAATTCCTCAAAATGGAATATAAAAGGATGTTTTGGTTTGCTTTTGATAATCACTTATCTTCTTAAAGGCTCATTTCAAATGCACTTTCAGTCTACGGTCATACCACCCCATAAGCGCCCGATCTCATCAAATGCACTTTCACAGGAAAAAGCGCTTTATTAATTAACTGAATCTTACCTGGAGATATGTTATCCCTCCTTGGGTTTTCCTCATAAAACTTACCAAAACCAAGTATTACCTTATAGATGTTTAGAGTCCCACTAGAATGTAAGCTCCATTAGGGTTGAATTTTGTTTTCTTTCGTTCCTATCACCTAAATCAGAGCTTACCACCTTGGAAGCAGAATATTAAATGAGTGAAATGAATGTTATTATAAAGTCTTTCTGATACACTTAATGTATTATTCCAATAAAAACGTTTAAACTTAGGCCAGCTATCCTAATGGCAAATTCCCAGTATTCACTTTTCTGTCCCTTAGTATAGGTTTGTGACATGAAAAGTCTAGTCCTGGGTTAAACAAAAACAGCTTTGCCACACACCATATGTTACATACTCCAAACTTAACATTTGAACTTCAAGTTATCCATGGCACTACTCTCCCCCATTTGGACAGACAACCATGATTCAATAATCTGTAGCTACTTTACTGTTCTTCAATATATGCTCTCAAAAATTTTAAGAAAGGAAATGTAGAGGTTAACTATAGATTGTTAATATTCAATAATAGCAACAGCTAAGACTGAAACCTCATTATGTACATTCAATACCACGCAATTCTCATAACAACATCTCCATTTTCAAGATGAGAAAAACTAAGGCTTAAAGGTTAAAAATTCGCTCAGTCACAAAGCTAGTAAATAAAGGAACCAGGATTCTATCTGGGACATGTCTTATTTACTAGTAACTACATTAGTAGAATTGAAAAGTTGTATTTTGGTTAATTAAATCTACTGGGTTTCAAATTATGTACATAAAATATAAATATTGGCATAATAAATATTTTACCTGGGAAAAATTGTGCACTTTGAAAATTAAAGCAGTTTTGAAAATCTAGCCAGTTGAAAATATTGGAATTACTTCATTAAATGTGAATAGATAATTCAGTTGACTACAAATCAAATCACTCTCAAGCCTTAGAAAAATCCCAAGACTAACAAGAAATATGAAATGTTAAAAACTTAAAGTAATTTAGGCATTATGCCGCACACCTGTAGTCCCAGCTACTTGGGAGGCTGAGGTGCTAGGATCACTTGAGCCCAGGAGTTGGAGTTCAACCCTAGACTAGACAACACAGCAAGAACTCCCCTACGCCCTCCCCAAAAAGAAGAAGAAGAAAAAAAACTAAATTGCAATTTCCTTATAAGGCTGAAGCATCACTGCAACTAAGTGTATTAAGAAAAAGCTTTTCTGCTTCAGTTTTCCGATGCTTGCAAATAAGGATAAAGTTTTCTCATGCACCCACCTCCAAGTTTTTAACACTACCTGAAACACCAACAAAACAAAAACAATTCTGCAAATGTGATGTACTAAAATTAACGTCAAAATCTCAAATGCCTAGATATAAAAGTCATCCAGTTAGGGAATGAGTCCAAATGGAGAGAATTATGCTCCATCAACAGCCCTAATTCCAACACAGGTAAGAGATGCCCTTAAAGGGAAACCATAAATTTGGTTTACAGTTTAAACCACTGCCAATATTTGTTTCTTTTGTTGTCAAATAATTCAATCTAAATTCACAAACATGGAGATTAAAAATACTAAATTATGGTGGGGTGTGGTGACTCACAGGATGGGCAGATCGATTTGAGCCCCAAAATTTGAGACCAGCCTGGGCAACACTGGGAAAACACAACTCTCCCACTTTAGAGGGGCATGGTAGCCAGCGCCGTGGTTCCCGCCTCAAAAAAAAAAAAAAAAAAAGATGTACCATCTATTTTAATTGCCTCATCCACTTAATTAACAAATAAAAAAAAAGATAACAAATCAAGGCCAGATGTGGTGACTCACACCTATAATCCCAGTGCTTTGAGAAGTCAAGGCAGGAGATGGCTAGAGCCCAGGAGTTCGAAACCAGCGTGGACAACACAGCTAGACATCATCTCTTTAAAATAAAACAAACAAATATATCAATACTGTCTAAAACACACAGAATAAGAATACAGCAAAAGGTAGAAAGTCAACTGAAAATTTTACAGTAAGTGTAAAAATTCAAAGCCGCCATACAATTACCAACACAACCTTCTTTCCTGATTCCTGAGCAACATTATTTCCCCCTACTTGGTTATCTCTCAGTAATACCTAGGTTGTGATTCCTTATGATGAGATCTCCATCCATAAGGAATTACTAAGAGATACCAAGAAGCCTATCATGGAAAAGGGGAGCCTTAGGCTTCAGTCAAGCTAAAGCAAACACCACCGAATCCAAACACATAAATCAACTATTTAATCAGACAACCTTTGCTAAGTGACAAAGTATTAATTTTAAAATCTTTTCAGCATTAACTGCCTATCCTCTCAAGTCCTTATATCTCAATTATTTTCCTAAGATATGGAATAGTCCTACCTTTGAGCCACTGCCAATATTTTTTCCTCCACCTTAACAGTGCTTACCTTCACCTCCCGTCTTCACAGGCTTACATCCTGTCCTATCTTTCATGTCTCAAATATACTACCTATTGTGTGTTAATTAGAAAATCTCAGCCACCAAGGTGGCTCACGTCTATAATCCCAGCACTTAAGGAGGCTGAGGCAGAAGGACCATTTGAGGTCAGGAGTTGGAGACCAGCCTGACTAACATGAAGAAACCTTGTCTCTACTAAAATTAGCTGGGCATGGTAGTGCATGCCTGTAATCCCAGCTACTTGGGAGGCTGAGGCAGAATAATCGCTTGAACCCAGGAGGAGGTGTGGTGAGCCAAGATCACGCCACTGCACTCCAGCCTGGGCAACAAGAGCAAAACTCCATCTCAGAAAAANAAAAAAAAAAAAAAAAAAAAAAAGTAAGAAAATCCTAGAAAGATCTTCAGAGCTGTCTGTCAGGGAGAAGATTAATAAATAGATAAATAAAACTTTAAGAGTTTTTTTAAAAAAGAAAATCCTAGAAAGATCACCTATGAAGTGGAACACCACCATTTTAAAAAGTGCCTCTTTCTAGCCGGCACAGTGGCTCACACCTGTAATCAGAGCACTTTGGAAGGCTGAGGCGGGAGGATCACCTGAGGTCAGGAGTTTGAGACCTGCCTGGCCAACATGGCAAAACCCTATCTCTACTAAAAATATAAAAATTAGCCGGGGGTCGTGGCGCATGCCTGTAGTCCCAGCTACTTTGGGAAGCTGAGACAGAAGAATCACCTGAACTCGGGAGGCGGAGGTTGCTGTGAGCTTGGGCAACGGAGGAAGACCCCATCTTAGAAGAAAAAGCAAGAAAGCAAAACCCCGGGGAAGGTATTAACCCTCATAGAGCAATTAAATACTAAAACTTTCTATCAGATTCATTCACAGTGTCAAAAGACAAAATGTTCTCATGTACAAATTGAACTGCCTATCAGATTATTTCAAGACCTAAAAGTTCTCCAGAATTCCCAGGAAAGTAGGACTCCAAGTTGGTTTAGAAACGCTCAATCAACAGGAACATCTGGCACCGGCTCTATTCATAAAGGCAACATTCTCTAATGAATTACACTCACGTTTATGTTAACTGTAAACTCCACTAACAACCAACAAGTTGCAAGTCAACAGACTGACAACACACTCTGGGAGGCCAAGGAGGGCAGATCACTTGAGGCCAGCAGTTCGAGACCAGCCTGGCCAACAGAGCGAGACCACCATCTCAACTAAAACTACAAAAATTATCTGGTCGTGGTGGCGCCTGCCTGTAATCCCAGCTACTCTGCAGTCTGAGACAGGAGAATCGCTTGAACCTGGGAGGCTGAGTTGCAGTGAGCCGAGCACCGCGCTACAGCCTGGGTGACAGGGCGACACTGTCTCAAAAAAAAAAAAAAGTTAACAAATGAAAATATAAACAGCCTTAAGGTGTCTCCACCCAAGTGCTCAGTCGAACATAAATGCAGGCTGCACATGACATGCATTCAAGACACAATGCTAAGAGTTTGCTTGACACAAACCTGTAGAAGACAGGATCCCAACTGACACCCAGGAAACTTACTCTAGCTTTCAGGGAAACTGTTGAAATGCGTCTTTGTGAAGTCTCTAAACTCTCTATTAAACCTCAGCACACTTTGAATGCAGCAGTATTCTCCCTCCTAATCCTTAGAAAGCATTTCCTGCCTGGAAAACCTTTCTCCCACAAGCCTTCTACAAACTTTTCCGTTCTTTCAACCTACTCCACGAAGCCTTAAGCCCGCCCCTCACCTCCCTCCCCCACCTCCCGCCCCCCCAGCACACACCCCCCTCCCCACTAGGGAACCTCAACACTGTAGACGCCACTCCACACCGGCACGCAAAACACATGTGCCTGCAAACCCAGCCCCTTTCCACACCCCCCGGAAACGACACCCCCTTTCTCACACACCGCACGCCACAACCCATCCCCCTTCCTCCCCGCCCCCACTCACATCACCCCAGTCCTCCCACCCACGTTCCCGGGAACCCAGCCTCCCCTCGCTCCCCGGCTCGCCAGAAGCAGTGGGGAGGGGAAGCAGGAAGAAGTAGGGCTCAAGCCCGGCTTAGGCCTCTCAGACCGCCTTGGGGGGAGCCCGCGGGCCGGGCTCAGCTCCCGTCAGCAGCAGGGCCTCATCCGGCCCCAGGCCTGCCCTCCGCCGCCACGGCCCGCCCCGCCCGGACCACACTCACTTGCCAGCCGCGGTCCATCGAGTCCCCCGCTGCTGCCTCCTCCGCCTGCTGCGGCTCCTGCCCCCGGGTCCCCCAGGTCCGGCTTCTTGGGCCCGGGGGGCGGCCCAGCTCCCCCGCCCGGGACGGCTCCGGGCGGAAAGCTGGCCACGGGTGCACCCGCCAGAGCCAGGGGGACGCTGTTGCTATGGAGGCCGAGGCCCGGGACAGCCCCGGCGGCCGGGTCCTCATGCAGGAACTGACACTCCTCCCCGTAGAAGCAAGTCTTATCCTTGGCGTAGTAGCGGCAGTACTTCAGCTTCACTCCTGCCGCCGCCCCTCCCGGGACACCCCCGACCCCCGGCGGAGCCACCACCGCCACTGCCGCCGCCAGCGAGGAGGAGGAAGGGGAGGCGGCGGCCGAGGGGGGCGGGAGGCCGCCGCCACTGTTCATGGCAACGCCACAGCCTCGTCTTCAGCCTCCGCCCGAGGAGCCGCCGCCGCCGCCGCCGCCACCATAGACGGGGGAGGGAAGGAAGACGCTGCCGGTGCCGGATAAAAGCCTGGGCGGGTGGGTCTGTCCCGCTGCGGGAGCCGGAGCCGCCCGGGGAGAGGGGGGAGGGGAGAGGGGAGGGAGGAGGGGGTAGAAGGAGGGAGGGTAGGGGGAGAGTTGGGATTCTCTCTCACTCACTCTCTCGTTCTCTTTTCTTAAAGGGGCCGCGCGGGACGACGGGGTGGGCGCGCGGGCCCAGACGGGGACTTCGAGGGCGCGGGCAGGGGAAGAGGGAGCGGCGGCGACGAGCGGGTGGGGAGGGCGGAGGGGCCAGTTTATTTTTAAATTCTGCCTCCACTCGTTCTCTCGCGCTCTGGTTCCTCCGAGTTGTTTATTCCATTTTCCTCTTCCTGAGACGGTCGTCGCCGCTGCGCGTGCGCGCCGAGACGCGAGGACTTCTGGGTAGTGGGAGCGCTAGGGGAAGCCTGGCCGGCGTCTGGCCCCCGGGGGCATCCGCGAGCGGGCGGCGGTTGGACCGGCGGACCTTGGTGGCGTTCCGGGCGCGGATCCGGCGCCGAAGTTCTCACGAGACCTGATACCTTCCTTATTCGTATATTCTCTTACTTAAAAAGCCAGATGTCATTTTTTTTTTCATTGAAAAGAAAATTTACAACGTAAACGGTCGTTTGGAGGGGCCACCTGGGGACGCGGCCCGAGCCCTGGCTCTACCTGAAGAATATTTTGTTTGCCACACTTCCTCTCCCCATTTCCTTTCTTCACCCCCTCTTCTCTTTCCCCTTCCCCTCGAAGGTAATGAGAATTACTGGACCGATGACGCTGACCTCTTGGCCCTTTGTCAAAAAATGGAGCCAAAAAGGTTGATTTAGACAGACCACCTGCTCAGTGCAGCACCTGTTTTCTCTGCATTTATATTACCAAGGGCCTTCGGTAAATTATGAAAAATGGGATGCCACCTGGGTCTGGAAATTTCCTTTATAAATATACTAAGTTGCTTTTCTCCAATCAGCCTGGCCTTGATTTGAAATTCATTTTTTAAAGATAGTTTTTCCCTCAGCGATCTCTGATGTTTGTGCTAATATCCTTTTAAAGGCTTTCAGGAATTTTAAAGAATTGCTGTGAAGGGAAAAGTAACATTCTAGTTTTTCTCTGTAAAAGAGGTTCACAAACGGCACCTCGTTGTCATGAAAGGGAAGGGTGGAAGTATTTAAGGAATTGTGGCAAACAGACAAAGTCACAGAAAAATGGATATAAGCAAAAGTACCACACGGAAAAAATGGGGAAAGGTGGAGTCTAGATCACAAACTGGTAAGCTTGATGATGTTCCTTAGCTAAATTCGAAGATAATTACATTGTATTACGGCTTTGTGTTTAAAAGCAGTTTCACTTATTTGATTATTCAACAAATCTTTATTAACACCCATTACGCGTACCAGGATCTGTGGTAGGAGCTGGGGAAGCAAGAGTAAACAAAATGCCTTCTTGTCTGAGTTCATGTGGCTTATTTATCTTCCGGTTGGGGAGGCATAAAGTATACAGGTCGTTGTAAACCAGTGTCTTAAGTACTAACCTTATCACATTTGCTATTAGAGGATATTAAACAAGTTAGACTTCTTGGAAAAAGTTGATACCTTAGTAGCAGGGTTTGGGAACATCATTGAATTCAGACAGATTTGGATTGAAACAGATTAAAGTGCCTACACTTTAATAGCTGTGTTTCTCTCAGTAAATTGCTGCATTTCTCCGTGGCTTATTTGTACACCTGGAATAAGAATAGTACCTGCTTCATAAATTATAAACTCACAATATATGTAAAGTGTCCCATGCCTAATAAGAATTCGGTAGGTTGTAACTGTTATTGATAGTATTACTGCTCGTTGTAGTCAGTGTATAGTCGAAGAGCATTCTAGGCAAAGCAAATGGCTTTTATTAGGGAGAATGTAGTAGTGATAATGGAGAATGGAGCAGAGTCCACAAAAGTCCTTGTCCGGCTGTGTTAAAGAATCGAACTTTGGCCTTGTACAGTGGCTCACACCTGTTATCCCAGCACTTTGGGAGGCCCAGGCAGGCAGATCACAAGGTCAGGAGTTCGAGACCAGCCTGGCCAACATGGTGAAACCCCATCTCTACTAAAAATACAAAAATTGGCTTGGCATGGTGGCGGACGCCTGTAATCCGAGCTACTCGGGAGGCTGAGGCAGAAGCATCACTTGAACCCAGGAGGCTGAGATCATGCCACTGCACTCCAGCCTGGGTGACAGAGCAAGACTCCATCTCAAAGAAAAAAAAAAAGTCAACATGGTAGGGCACCGTGGCTCACACCTGTAACCTGCTTTAGAAGGTAGCCAATGCAAGAGTTGAGGCCCAGAGTTCAAGACCCTACTAAGGAAACCTAGCAAAACCCTGTCTCTACAAAACAATTTAAAAATTAGCCAGGTGTAGAGGCACTTGCCTATAATCCTAGCTACTGGGAAGGCTGAGGCAGAGGATCATTTGGACTCAGGAGTTCCAGGATGCAGTGAGCTATGAAGGCGCCATTTCGCACCAGCCTGCACAGCAGTGAGACCCTCTCAGTCAATAAATGAAAAATAGATAAACTTATTTGCCACACATATCACCATACATTTTTAGGAGACACCTACGTATTCCTATAGTAGGGCTATCTTTTTAAGCAAGGTTCAATGTTAAGTTCATTTACTAAAAATAAATGTGTAGTTAACTCTAAAAGTTATTTTCATGTTAATGAAGATTACATCCAAAACTGCAAATAATCCACAAATTATACATAAAATATATATTTGACCTCCAGCAACAGCAACATTTCTCCAGCAACAAAGACTACATTGCTAAAGGGTAATGTTAATTTCTTTTTTTTTTTTTTTTTCTTTTTTTGAGACAGAGTCTCACTCTGTCACCAGGCACCAGGTTGGAGTGCAGTGGCATGATCGGGGCTCACTGCAACCTCCGCCTCCTGGGCTCAAGCAATTCTCCTGCCTCAGCCTCCCGAGTAGCTGGACTACAGGCGCACGCCGCCATGCCCAGCTAATTTTTGTATTTTTAGTAGAGACGGGGTTTCACCGTGTTGGCCAGGATGGTGTCGATCTCTTGACCTTGTGATCCGCCCACCTCGGCCTACCAAAACTGGGATTACAGGTGTAAGCCATCGCAACTTGCCTTATTTTTTTATTTATATGCATATTT